TTTTATGACAATGTTTGGAAATGAGGGTATCAGGGATTTAAGATTTTTTTTGTTTCATCAAAATAATTCAAAATTTTTTAACCGGTAAACATCGTCAAAGTTCATTGCAACCCTTATTCAAAACTGCTACTTCTTTTACGATCATTCGCATAATTATGTTGTCTTATGGAGGGTAACGGAAACATTGCTGAACACATTTGAAATCTTATCCTTCATGATGTTATATTCATACATTGAGAATATATCAATGTATTATCCTGTTCCTTTTGAATAATTCTAAAAAACAAAGATATATCGATCTCCACATCAGTTGTAAATACTTTGTAATTAGAGAACCGCATCCTTCGATATGCCGTTTCTGCAGACTGGTGAGAATCGACATGTAACATAATACACAATTGTTCACCAGACAAAAGAAAATTGGGAGGATCCGGGGATATCTTTATACGACCTATGGCCAAAGAGCAAATTCTGTTCCCCGACTGGCGCGGCCACTGATCCCTTTAAATGCCGTTTCTTCAACATGGTGAGAATCGATTTGTAACATAATGTACCATTGTTCATCAGTATTCTGTGAAAAACAAAAGACAAATTAATGATAAACGATAATGATTTATTTTTGTTATAGCGTTTTACATAATAGAATTTATCAGAGTACAGAGTACATAATAAACATGATTCAATAAACAACAAAAATATGTACAAAAACAGAACAGTTGTTTGAGAGCTTACGAATAGTGCAATTTAAAGAGGTGAGTTTTGAATGCTGTTTTAAAAATATCAAATTTACAGATGTTCCTCATTCCAACTGGCAATTCATTCCACAATTTAGGGGCATATATGGAAAATGCCGTACCACCGTATACCGTGCATGGTTCGGTCGAACCTCCTGGTATTCAAATTTCACCCCCGAGAGCTTTTTGTTTAGATTGTTGGCTTTGATACCTAAACTAGGTCACCAAGGTAGAGCGGCACTGCCTCACTATGGCATATTAATATAAAAATAATGCAGAAAAATTTTGAACAAAACACTCATCTCAACTGGTTGCCAATGGAGTTCCCGAAGAACAGGTGACATATCTGTATGACGACCAATTTTCTGAAGAGAACCCGAAGATATTTATACCACCTCTGCCAATAGCCAATTAATATTCTCATGAACTGAATAGTTACTTTGAAAGAAGCATAACTCATTGTGTCCAAACCACATCCCAATTCGTCATACTCGGAGTAAGACCATGTCAATATCCGCATTCGTGATACGATGGGCATAAAGGACCTTTCCTTCAAAGAACGGAATTGACCAACATCGAGTCGATTCAATTGATCACCAATAATCTTTTTAAAAGAAACTTTGTACTCATCAGATACGAATCGACACGTTCAATATTCTCTAATATGTATTGTATATATTGATAACCCGTAGTCTTGAACACAATTAGTAATCTCATAAAAATCCAGACGCATATTATACTTTCGGTGTGATCAACATGACGTTCTCCTGTCTGCCGTTTACCACTTTTGGAGTTATTTTCTTAACACTGCAAATTTTACACCAAGGCAACAGTATGTGTACACTCAATGGTAACCCGTTTCGGAGAACAGAGCTGTTCGATCTACGATTCAGTGCCTATACTCTTTCAGCAAGTTCTCAAACCTTGAATGATTGTGTATCACTTTGCGATTCAAATCTTTGCATATCGTTTGGATATAATTATCTCACTGCGGTATGCTACCTTTACGATAGAAGAGTTTTATTCGGAGAAGATTCTGCTGTATTTGAAGACGGAATGGTAAATTACTGGACTGTCGCAGGTATGCCTACATATCGGACTTGTATATCAGATGCTGGTGGAAGGGCCGGGATCCATATCCGAACCACTTACCGCCTTTCAAAAGCGGTGTCGCTAGCACAAGAGAATTTTCTAGAAACCTTTTGCATTTAATATGGGAATGTATATATTCATTCCAGAGTCATGCCCGGGGGATTATACATTTACAAGCACAACAAATTTATGTTATAAATTGGTTTATACCAAGCTGAATCATTCGATGGCCAATAACGTCTGTGCTGCTGATGGTGGACATTTACTTATACTTGATTCACCAACTAAAAGGACTTACTTTTTCTCGGAGCATGGTTATGATCGTAAGTATTAATACATTGTCCATTTAGAATGGACATTTAAAGACGAAAATCCAATAATTGCATTGTAAAACAACTTTGCTACACATTTTTGTAAAAATTCAAAAAATATAAAATGTTTTTTTATTTATTTTAGCACCTAGAACATAAAATGCAAATAAATGCAAATTGTCGCCAGATAATGACCAAATGTTATTTTTTTCGATTTTAGTTACCAATTTGCACTTTGATAGGGCGACCGACGCATTATTAGGAAGTCTGTGATTTGCCATTTTCGAAGGTTAATTTATGTCTTGAATTTAGAAGTACAGTCGAGTAACCTAATTTCGTGCTAACCTATTTTTCGTGCATCTCGTAAATGATTAATA